GTCTCTCCTCCCCGCAGGGGGTGTCTCAAACCATGCAGTTCAGGCAGCGCCTTACAGAGTAACGCGGGCGTTCGACCTGTCCTGCTCCACAGTCTCCTCCAGCAGCTCGTATCCCGCTCTGCGTGAACCTGGTTCCGGAATAATGCCACTCTGCCCTGCCAACAAAGGGCCTCAGGTTGGCACCTGCAATGTCTTTGTACTTGGGCAATATGCCCTCTTCCCACAGTACTTGGGAGGAAGGGGCTGCTGTCTGCCAGTGCACCCTTGAGAATGCTACTGCACCCCAGGACTGGCCCCTCTCTCCACCAGGTACCTGCATACAGCCGGCTCCAGTCCAGAGAAAGTCAAACAACCCTAAAAACTCCGATCTTCACTTATAAGGCTGTTTGCAAAGTAGAAATTGGCTCTGTCTGTATTTTTTGTTCCCCTATCCATGGTCCAGAGAGGTTTTCCTCTTGTCCAAATACAATCCCACACTTCTACAACCTTTCTTCACTTCCTTTTGTCTCACCACAAAAGTGGTCCCCTCCCCTCCTTGCCTACACTGCCTATTTTTTCTCTCCCGATTCTCAAACGCCTGCCTCTCTACCACCAATCTGTCTCGTTCCACCTGTGGGGATCCTTCTGCCACTCTGTAGATTGATTTCCTCTGCAGAAAGTGTTCTGACCTTAATACCGCTGTCTTTGAGGGGCGAAGGAAATAATGATCTTCTTACTTGTCTGCCATTTTGACTCCTCCCAGCATAGGTATTTTTAAAAGCAAAAATAACCTAAATGTTTTGGAAGTTTAAAAAAACACTTTAAGCAATTACTTTGTTTTTATTGTTTTTAGATTGTGAAGGACCGCCTCCAGGAAAACAAAATGAAATTTTGTCAGGTGTCTGGTCTGAACAAAACTATCCAGAGGGAACTCAGGCTACATATAAATGCCGACCTGGATATAGAACTCTTGGAGTTATTATAATGGAATGCAAGAATGGAGAATGGGTGGCTCTTAATCCATTGAGGATATGTCAGAGTAAGTAAATCATACATTTGTGAAAACTTTAGTTGTGAAAATACCAAATGTTTGATATCGTAGCAATATTAGCTGAGTTATATCATAATTGTCATTAAATACAAAATAATATACCATCATTATTCTTTTGTTTTTAATGTTTATTTTTGAGAGAGAGAGAGAGAGAGAGAGAGCACAGGTGGGGGGGGAGGAGAGAAAGGGAGACACAGAATATGAAGCAGGCTCCAGGTTCTGAGCTGTCAGCACAGAGTCCGACGCGGATGTGAACCCACGAACTGAGATTATGACCTGAGCCGAAGTTGGATGCTTAACCGACTGAGCCCCCCAGGCGCCCCTATACCATCATTATTCTTAATAAGGAGTTGTAATCTTCCAAAATAAAAAAACCCACCATATAGACAAGTTTAATAATAAAATAATAACTTTGTTATTTTTCACTTTTCTACATCTTCAATTATGTCTTTGGATATAATATTAAATACTATTTTCCTTGAACTTCTACATCAAATGTGTTTCCCTGTGTTACATAATGATATTATATTCTTTTGATCATTTTAGAAAGGCCCTGTGGACATCCTGGAGATACTCCTTTTGGTTCCTTTCATCTTGCAAGAGGAAATGAATTTGAATATGGAGCAAAGGTTGTTTACACATGTAATGAGGGGTATGTAGTCAATATAAAAAAATGGAGACAATTATAATTTAGATTGTAGATAGGGACTGTACTGATTAGTATTTTTAAGGTCACGTTATTTTTCTTTTTTTTCAATTTTTAATGTTTTATTTTATTTTTTTGAGAGACAAAGAGAGACACAGAGGGAAGGGCAGAGAGAGAGAGACACACTCACACAGAATCCAAAGCAGGCTCTAGGCTCTGAGCTGCCAACACAGAGCCCAATGTGGGGCTTGAACCCACAAACCATGAGATCATGTCCTGAGCTGAATGAAGTTGGACACCTAACTGGCAGCCACCCAAGGCACCCCAATTATTTTATTTTTCTATGAGCATTTTTATAAGTACCATACAAGAAGCCTGAAAAATTAATGTATAATGGAAATGATTATATTTGGATACCATATTATCTCCTCAACATTGAAAATTTTTTTTAAAAAAAAATTTTTTTTTTTCAACGTGTATTTATTTTTGGGACAGAGAGAGACAGAGCATGAACAGGGGAGGAGCAGAGAGAGAGGGAGACACAGAATCGGAAACAGGCTCCAGGCTCTGGGCCATCAGCCCAGAGCCTGATGCGGGGCTCGAACTCACGGACCGCGAGATCGTGACCTGGCTGAAGCCGGACGCTTAACCGACTGTGCCACCCAGGCGCCCCTTTTTTTTTTTTTTTTTAATTTTTTTTTTAAATTTTTTAATTTTTTTAATTATAATGAGTTTCTGTCATGAACCAAGGATAATGATTAGTCCATGTGCCTGAAGACTTGAGGGCGTTTTTTTTTTTAATATAACTTATTGTCAAATTAGCTAACATACAGTATATACAGTGTGCTCTTGGCTTCGGGGGTAGATTCCCATGTTTCATCACTTACATACAACACTCAGTGCTCATCCCAACAAGTGCCCATCACCCATTTTTACTTCTCAATGTCCATCACCTCTCAATAGCCATCACCCCTCAGTGCCCATGACCCATTTTCCCCTCTCCCCTGCACCCCTCCATCAACCCTCAGTTCTTTGTATTTAAGAATCTCTTTATGATTTGCCTCCCTCTGTATTTGAAACTTTTTTTCCCTTCCCTTCCCCCATGGTCTTTTGTTAAGTTTCTCAAGTTCCACATGAGTGAAAACATATATCTGTATTTCACCGACTGACTTATTTCACTTAGCATAATACCCTCCAGTTCTGTCCACATTGCTGCAAATGGTAGGATTTCATTCCTTCTTGTTGCCAAATAATATTCCATTGTATATATAAACCACATCTTCTGTATCCATTCATCAGTCGATGAACATTTGGGCTCTTCCCATAATTTGGCTGTTGTTGAAAGTGCTGCTGTAGACATTAGGGTACATGTGCCCCTTCGAATCAGCACTCCTGTATCATTTGGATAAATTTTGGGTAGTGCTATTGCTGGGTCCTAGGATAATTCTATTTTAAATTTTTTGAGGAAACTCCATGCTGTTTTCCAGAGTGGCTACACCAGTTTGCATTCCCACTAACAATGCAAGAGGGTTCCCTCTTCTCCACATCTTTGCCAACATCTGTTGCTTCTTGAGTTGTTAATTTTAGCCACTCTGACGTGTGTGAGGTAGTATCCCAATGTGGTTTTGATTTGTATTTCCCTGATTATGAGTGATGTTGAGCATCTTTTCATGTGTCTGTTGGCCATCTGGATGTCTTTTTTGGAAAGGTGTCTATTCATGTCTTCTGCCCATTTCTCCACTGGATTATTTGTTTTTCAGGTGTTGAGTTTGTAAGTTCTTTATAGATTTTGGATACTAACCATTTATCCAATATGTCATTTGCAAATATCTTCTCCCATTTTGTCCATTGCCTTTTAGTTTTGTTGATTGTTTCCTTTGCAATGCAGAAGCTTTTTATTTTGATGAGGTCCTACTAGTTCATTTTTGCTTTTATTTACCTTGCCTTCGGAGATGTGTCGAGTAAGAAGTTGCTGTGGCTGAGATCAAAGAGATTGTTGCCTGTTTTCTCCTCTAGGATTTTGATGGTTTTCTGTCTCACATTTAGGTATTTCATCCATTTTGAGTTTATTTTGTGTAAGAAGGTGGTCCCGTTTAATTTTTCTGCATGTTGCTGTCCACTTCTCCCAGCACCGTTTGTTAAAGAGACCGTCTTTTTTCCATTGGATACTCTTTCCTGCTTTGCCAAAAGTTAGTTGGCCATACATTTGTGGGTCCAATTCTGGATTCTATATTTTATTCCATTGCTCTATGTGTCTGTTTTTGTGCCAATACCGTACTGTCTTGATGATTACAGCTTTGTAGTAGAGACTAAAGTCCAGAATTGTGATGCCTCTGGCTTTGGTTTTCTTTTTCAACATTACTTTGGCTATTTGGGGTCTCTTGTGGTTCCATACAAATTTTAGGATATTTTCTTTAGCTCTGAGAAGAATACAAGTGCAATTTTGATTGGGATTGCATTGAATGTGTAGATTATTTTGGGTGATATTGACATTTTAACAATATTTGTTCTTCTAGTTTATGAGCATAGAATATTTTTCTATTTCTTTGTGTCTTCTTCAATTTCTTTCTTAAGCTTTCTGTAGTTTTCAGCATACAGATCTTTGACATCTTTGGTTAGGTTTATTCCTAGGTATTTTATGGTTTGTGGTGCAATTGTAAATGGGATTGATTTCTTGATTTCTCTGTTGCTTCATTATCAGTGTATAGAAATGCAACCAATTTCTGTACATTGATTTTATTTCCTGCGACTTTGCTGACTCCATGTATCAGTTCTAGCAGTTTTTTAGTGGAGTCTTTTAGGTTTTCCGTGTAAAGTATCATGTCATGTGCAACAAATAAAAATTAGGCTTCTTTGCCAATTTGGGTGCCTTTTATTTCATTTTGTGGTCTGATGGCAGAGGCTAGGACTTCCACTACTATGTTAAACAGTAGTGGTGAGAGTGGACATCCATGTTGTGTTCCTGATCTCAGGGGAAAAGCTCTGAGTTTTTCCCTATTGAAGATGATATTAGCTGTGGGCATTTTGTATGGTTTTTATGACATTAAGGTATGTTCCTTCTATCCCAACTTTCTTGAGGATTTTTGTTAAGAAAGATGCTGTATTTTGTCCATTGCTTTTTTTTTTCTGCATCTATTGACAGGATCATATGGTTCTTATCCTTTCTTCTATTAATGTGATGAATCACACTGATTGATTTGCGAATATTGAACCAGCCCTGCAGCCCAGGAATGAATCCCACTTGGTGATGGTGAATAATTCTTTTACTATACTGTTGAATTCGATTTGCTAGTATCTTGATGAGAATTTTTGCATCCATGTTCAACAGGGATATTTGCCTGTAATTCTCCTTTTAGTGGGGTCTCTGTCTTTTTTGGGAATCAGCGTAATGCTGGCTTCATAGAATGAGTCTGGAAGCTTTCCTTCCATTTCTATTTTTTGGAACAGCTTGAGAAGGATAGGTATTAACTCTGCTTCAAATGTCTGGTAGAGTTCCCCTGTGAAGTCATCTGACCCAGGACTCTTATTTGTTGGGATATTTTTGATAACTGTTACAATTTCTTCACTGGTCATGGGTCCTTTCAAATTTTCTGTTTCTTCCCATTTGAGTTTTGGTAGTGTATGGGTGTCTAGGAATTTGCCCATTTCTTCCAGGTTGTCCAGTTTGTTGGCATATAATTTTTCATAGTATTTGCTAATAATTGTTTGTATTTCTGTGGTGTGATCTCTTTCATTCGTGGTTGTATCTCTTTAGTTTCTCCCTCTGTCTCTTTTTTTTTTTTTGAGAAGTTGGCTAGGGGTTCATCAATTTTGTTTATTCTTTCAAAAAACCAGCACTTAGATTCATTGATCTCTTCTGCTGTTTTGTTTTGTTTTTTTTGGATTCTATATTGTTTATTTCTGCTCTGATCTCTATTATCTCTCTTCTGCTGGATTTGGGGTTTCTGTGCTGTTCTGCTTCTAGTTCCTTTAGGTATGCAGTTACATTTTATATTTGGAATTTTGTTTGTTTGTTTCTTGAGATAGGCCTGGATTGCAGTGTATTTTCCTCTTATGACTGCCTTTGTTGCATCCCAAAGGGTTTGGACTATTGTGTTTTCATTTTCATTTGCTTCCATATATTTTTAAATTTCTTCTTTAATTGCCTAGTTGACCCATTCATTCTTAAGTAGGATGTTCTTTAACCTCCATGCATTTAGAGGCTTTCCACATTTTTTCTTGTGGTTAATTTCAAGTTTTATAGCATTGTAATCTAAAAATATGCATGGTATGATCTCAGTTCTTTTATATTTATGGAGGGCCATTTTGTGACCCAATATGTGATCTTGAAGAATGTTCTATGTGCATTCAAGAAGAATGAGTCTCTTGCTGCTTTTTGATGAAAAACTCTGAATATATCTGTCAAGTCCATCTGGTCTAGTGTATTATTCAACTCCATTGTTTCTTTATTGATTTTCTGCCTAGATGATCTGTCCGTTGTTGTAAGTGGAGTATTAAAGTCCCCTGAAATTACCATATTCTTATCAATTAAGATTGCTTATATTTGTGACTAATTGATTTATATATTTGGGTCCTTTCAAGTTAGGGGCAGAAACATTTACAATTATTAGCTCTTCTTGATGGATAGACCCCTTAATTATGATATAATGCCCTTCTTCATCTCTTGTTATGGACTTAGTTGAAAATCTAGTTTGTCTGATATAAGTATGGCTACTCCAGCTGTCTTTTTTCTTCCAGTAGCATGACAGATGGTTTTCCATCCCCTCACTTTCAATCTGCAGCTGTCCTCAGGTCTAAATGAGTCTCCTGTAGGCAACATATAGATGGATCTTGTTTTTTGATCCATTCTGATACCCTTTGTCTATTGATTGGGGCATTTAATCCATTTACATTCAGAGTGATTATTGAAAGATAAGGATTTAGTGTCATTGTGTTAGCTGTAGGTTTCATGCTTGTGGTGATGTTCTCTTGTCCTTTGTAGTCTTTGCTGCTTTCCACTCAGAGAGTCCCCCTTAGGAACTCTTGCAATGCTGGTTTAGTGGTCATCAGCTCTTTTAGTTCTTGTTTGTCTGGAAAAGCGTTTATCTCTCCTTCTATTCTGAATGACAGCCTTACGGGATAAAGGATTCTCTGCATATATTTACTATTCAACGCATTGGCTAATTCCTGCCACTCCCTCCTGGCCTGCCAAGTTTCAGTGGACAGGCTGCAAATACCCTTATTTGTCTATCCTTGTAGGTTAAGGCCCGTTTGTCCCTAGTGGTGTTCAGAATTCTCTCTTTATCTTTGTATTTTGCCAGTTTCACTATGATATGTCATGGTGTTGACCTGCTTTTGTTGATTTTGAGGGGAGTTCTCTGTGTCTCTTGGACTTGGATGCCTGTTTTCCTCCCCAGATTAGGGAAGTTCTCAGCTATAATTTGTTCAAATAAACTTTCTTCCCTTTTCTCTCTCTCTTCTTCTGGAACTCATATCATGCGGATATTATTTCATTTCATTGAATCACTTAGGTCTCTAATTCTCCCCTCATGGTCTAGTATTTTCTTATCTCTATTTTTCTCAGTTTCATCATGTTCCATAATTTTCTCTTCTGTTTCACTTATTCTCCCCCTCTGCTTCCTCCACCCTTGCTGTCACTGCATCTAGATTATTTTGTACCTCATTTACAACATTTCTTAATTCATCATGACTATTTCTTAGTTCCTTGATGTCTGCAGGAATAGATTCCCTTATGTCTTCTATGCTTTTTTCAAGGCCAGCTATTAATTTTATGACTATTATTCTAAAGTCTTGATCAAGTATATTGTTTATATATGTTTTGAGCAATTCTCTAGCTATCACTTCTTCCTGGAATTTCTTTTGAGAGAATTCTTCCGTTTCATAATTTTGGCTAGTTTTCTGTCCTTTATGTGTTTTAATAGCTTGTCAGGTGTCCTGCACCTATGAGCACTACCATATTAAAAAGGGGTCATAAGCTGTCCCAGGCCTGACTGTTCAGGAGGTGTTTTTGGAATGTGTTGCATGCTCTCTCTTGTTGTTGTGACTGTGGTTGCTGTGTCTCCTTCCTTGTAGTTGTGGTTTGGATCTTCCACCAGGTGTGCTTTGATACATTCATTTAAGTAACCCTGGAAAAAAATTTTTTAAATGGGGGTGGTGGCAAAAGAAGTCTTATCCCATAGAAAGAGAGAAATGACAAGGTAGGGGAAAAAAGAAAAAAAATAATTGACCAGGTAGAGAATCAGAGAAACGATATGGCTTAATCTAGAGAGAGAGAGAGGAAAATGAAGAGGAAGGAGGTACAGAACAGGTGTAAAAAGACTAGATTAAAAAGTCTGCTTAAACAACCAACAACCAAAGTAACCAAAAGAGAAGGGAAGAAATAAGAGGAAGAAAAAAAATACACACACACACACACACACACACACACACGTACACACAAAATAGGAATTGAACAAGAATCAATTCAGAAAAATGCAAAACCACTGGACCAACCAGTGGCTGCACTGGTCTGGAGGAGGTGCTGTTTGGTTTGGTCAGTGTCAATCTTGCTCTGTTAGATATGCAGTTACCAGGCGCAGAGGGCTGTGGTTTGTTGTAGGCAGTTCCCGCCTCCACTGTGGTCCATTGTTCTCTGAAACCCCACCTTGTTGGTGATGGGGAGAAAAATGGCGACACACCAGTCTCTCCTCTCCAGAGCGGGTGTCCCAAACCACTCTGTTCAGGCCATCCTCACAGTACTGTGCAGGTGCGAGCAGGCCTTTTTGTCACGCTCCAGTCTCTTTTGCCTCCCAAGCACGTGGCTGGGATTCAAACCCCGATGTCTTAAAGGATCCCACCCTGGAGTCTCAGTTCTGGGGTAGTGCCAGTCTGCCCTGACAGCCGACAAAGGGCCTCTGGCTGGCAGGTGCCTGCAGGGTCTTTTGTCCTTGGAGTGTCTTGTGCCTTCTTCCCACAGTCCTCAAGGTTGGGGGACTGCTCTCTGACTGCACCTTTGAGTTGGCTACTGAGCTCAGGGCTGGCTCCCCTCCTACCCAGGCATGCATATAGGGCAGCAGGCCCCAGTCTGGAGGAAGCCCTACAACCCTGGAATGAGCTAGAAATTGGTTCTGTCTCCGTTTATTCTGTTCCCCAGTCTGTGGTTTTTCTCTTCTCCAAATACAATCCTACACTTCCACAGCCTCTCTTTCTCTTCCTTTTGTCTCTCCACAGAAGGGGATCCCTCCCTTCTGTGCCTACACCACCACCCATTTTATGTCTCCCAATTGGCAATCATGAACCTATGGCACATCAGGTTGTCCCCATGGGCCCCTGGAGATGTTTCTGTTGCTCTTTAGCCCAGATTCCTGGAATTCCAAATCTTCTGGGCAAAATACTGCTGTGTTTGAGGGACAAGGGAACTTCGGGTCCCCCTACTTCTCCACTGTGTTAACTGTGTCTGAGAGCCTTTCTTAAGTAGTAGGGAAGTTTAAGAACAATAGAAAGTGGCATCTGGGTGGCTTAGTCGATTAAGCGTCCCACTCTTGATTTTGGCACCGGTCATGATTTCACAGTTCATGAGATCGAGGCCCACATTGGGCTTTGTACTGACAAAACAGTGCCTACTTGGGATTCTCTCTCTTTCTCTCTCTCTGCCCATCCCTTACTCCTGCTCTCTCTCTCTCTCTCTCAATAAATAAACTTAAAAAAATTTCTTCATCTCATACAGATACAAAAAAACCCAAACAAGTTAAATAAAAAAGAAAGAAAGAAATTTAAGAATAAGAAAGAGAAAGAACAGAAAGAGAGAAAGAATGAAAAGGAAAAGAAAGAGGGAAGGAAGGGAGTCAGGATGGAGAGAAAAAAGGAAGGAAGGAAAGAAGAGGGAAGGGAAGGAGGAAAGAAATGTATATGCTGTTAATTTTCTCTGAAATGGAGTTCCTGGACATTCAGAATGTATCAAACTTAAAATTTCATATAAATGCATATAATAAATTAGCTCACCATTCTGTCATTTTTGGTTTTTAGGTATCAGATGCTAGGTACGATTAATTTCCGTGAGTGTGAATCTGATGGATGGACCAATGATATTCCTATATGTGAAGGTATATGTAAAATTGATTTACAAATATATTCAAATATTTAAAATATCTAAGATTTTTTGAGATATCTTACATTGAAACATCCTTAAAGTTTGTAATTACATATTTTTGATTCAAAGTATTTTTATGGCTTCTAATATAGTTTGGAATGGATATCTAAGCTTTTTATTACTACACTATTTTGTGTTTCATTAACCAAATGTGAGTGCAGTTTCATCTGATCTAATGTATTCAAAGTATTAGAGATTAGGAAATCTAAAACCTATTTTCCTTTCCTTTTGGATTCTAAACACTAGAAATAGCACAAGGATCAGAATTTCAGCTTTACTAATGAATACATACTCAACTAATATCCACCCAAATGCAGAGATTGTCAATAACATCTGAAATGGAGACCAGATTCAGTTATCTCTCCCCTCTTGCATGGCAAAGGAGGTTTTCCTGTGGTCTTAGTCTTACTGAAAAGAGGCAGGAAGTAAGGAAGAGCTCTACTTTTCTTACTGATCCATAAAACCAAGAGTCAGAATGATAAAAATGTAGATCCTGTTTCTAAATTTTGGGATAGTAATGCCAATCTCTCTCGTCATCATGGAAATAGATGAGTCAGAGTAGTCTTTCTTAGTTCCATGGTGAGAAGTAAATAGAGAGGGAGAGAGAGGGGGAAGGAGGGAGGGAATGAGGAAAAGGGGGAGGGAGGGAGGGAGGACCAGGAGGATGAAGGAGGAGGAGGAGGAGGAGGAGGAGGAGGAGGAGGGCGAGTGGGAATGTGATCACTCAAAAGTCCCGTTACCTAAAGAAGAGAACTTACGGAAATGAGAGGAAAGATCTCAATGTTTTAAGGAACATCTACACTGAAATCACCTGAGGTGCTTGTTTAAAGCTGAAATTTTGGGTTACTAAAAACCTATTAAATCAGTATCTCAGGTAATAGCGCAGGGAGATAGCCATAGAATTTCCATCTTAATGAGCATCCGGGATGATTTTACTCTAAAATAAAGTTTAAATGCCATAACCTACAAGGTATTGGAAAATATTAAGTAAAATCAAAAGGAATACTCAGATTATTTTGAGCACTGATGTGGGAGAGGAAGGAAAATTAAAGACTTTATCTATTGAAAGAAATAGAATCAGAAAGTTTGCATTTATACCTTTAAGGAATACAGTGTTATATTATCCTAGGGCTTAAGTGAAAAAATTCATCTAATTATCTCAAGCTTTATATTTTTCAATTATTTAAGGAACATTTATTTGTTACTATAAAAATGTAAACTGACATTCAAAGAAATAATTTTTTCTTTGTCCGATCTCATAGAAAATAATCAGAGATAAGCTTATTGATTTTTTTTTAATTTATAAGCCTTTATATCCAACAAACAGGTTTATCAAATGCTTCTTTAAAAAAATTAAGTAATTCCCCCAATCTTTCTTTGTTAGTGACTTTATACCTGTATGTGTATATATACGTATTTTTCACAATAAAGTTGTCAAATTCTATTAGGAAAAGTTATATTTATTTTTTTCAGTTGTTAAGTGTTTACCAGTGACACATCCAGAGAATGGGAGATTGACCAGTAGCGCATTGGAACTAGACAAGGAATATACTTTTGGACAAGTAGTACGGTTTGTGTGCAATTCAGGCTTCATGCTTGTTGGGCCTGCAGAAATACGTTGCTCAACGAATGGTGTTTGGAGTGGAGAAAGCCCAAAATGTGTGGGTAAGATACATTCACTGTTCATGGGATCGGACAGTTTTAGTTTTTCTCATGAAAATTTGCACTTTTAAATATTATGCATAGAATAATACTAATTATACTAATAACATTAAAACTAACATTTATTGGGCAGCTACTATTTGTCAGTAATTAATCTAAGTTCTTTACATTCCATTTTACCTTCAAAATGACTGTGATTTATGCACTGTTTTCACCTCTATTTTATAACTGAGGACATTGTGGGGCAAAAAACTTACATCTCATGACCAAGGTTATGATGGCATAACGGTGGAGTTAAGATTCAAACCTAGTTTATCTGAAACCAAATTCCATGGTCATATCCATAATTAAATTGTAATGGGCTTTCATGCTCAAATAGAGTAGTAAGCAGTTCTGCTGCAAGATTTAATATTGGCCTACAGAACCGGCTTTCTTTTAATTTGTAAGATCAAAAAGTCATTATGTATTTCCACTGATATATCATTATAACATTCTGTTCTTGAATAATACTTCTAGAGTGAGGTCCTATTTTATATTTGCACTGTAAGTTTAGAGAAATATTGTGAAACTAAACTGAATTCACTAAATAACTTTTTGTCTTTTAAAAAAAGTTCTATAGTAAACTGCAAGTCAAGATTTCTTTAGTTATAATACTGCTAACCAGTGCATCATGACCAGTATGGTGATCAGGCTTTTGTAATGAAACATTATGGTCAGTCTACTTCATTTTACCAATTCTTGTTTGGCAGATATATCTGCCATATTTATTTTTTTAAATATTTTTTCTAAAATTCACACTTTCTTAGTTTAGTCTATCCTATAACGAGATGCAGGGAAAAGCATTTGTGTTCTTAAAAATTCTCTCTAACAATATTAGTTCTTCAAGTCAGTAATGGCAATCATATTTCTATTCAGCACAGCAAATACTGTATACCCCAGAGGCTCACAGATGGGGTTTCCTCCTTCAAACTAAATTTCTGAGCACCTGGGTGGCTCAGTCAGTTGAACATCAGACTCCTGATATTAGCTGAGGTTGTCATCTCCCAGTCATGAGATCCAGCCTGGCATCCAGCTCCACGCTCAGAGTGGAGCCTGCTTGATCCTCTCTCTCCCTCTGTCTTTGCCCCTCCCCAACCCACGCACTCTCTCTCTCTCTCACTGTCTCTCTCAAACTCTCTCTCTCTCAAAATAAATAAAATTTGAAAAAAACCTGAATTTCTGTGCTTAGTAAAACCTTACTGGAATAACTCATGCATAAGATACATTTTGAAGAAAGAATGAGACTTCTTCCAACGAAGTTGAGGAGGGGAAAAGTATATCAGTCAGGAGAAGTTCAGGGAGAGGAAGGTACAAATGCAGTGAGGCTTCCAGGAGCCTGAAGCTCCCCTGTTCCATGTCTTCGAGGCCGTTGTGTAGGACGCAAGTAGGGGTAGGTCAGTGATGGCTTGAAGATAGGCCAGTGCAAGGTTCTAAGGTGCTCCATATCATGCTGTAGAATTTGGCTTTTATTCAGACTGAATTGGGAATCGATGGAGGATTTCAGTGGAATCCTTCAACGGAGCGATGAAGGGACAAGAAAAACAGTCATTAAGTTACAAACAGGAAAATAGATTACAGAGGTGCGAGAATAGCATCTGGGAAATTAGTTATTGTTGCCATAATCCCAGGGGGAAATGTTTGAGAGAAGATGGGGGCAAATATGATGGCCAGTTTTGGGGTTTTCTTGACAGAAAATTTTGATGGATGGTAAAGCCACAAAAACAGAAGATGTAATTCATAGGTATAATGACAATCGGTTAAATTAACTTCTTTGACAAAGTGTTATGCCAATTATGACTCTATTATCGATAACTAGAAAATACATAATTTTTACAAGTCATTTGGTGAAAATGTTTATCACAATAATCCTAAATATCTATACCCAATTATATATATATAGTTGGTATCATTACTGGCCACTATTTACTTGAAGAGGACTAATTTATCTTCAAAGCAAATAAAATAAGCAACATAATTTTTATTTATTTATTTATTTTTGATAGAAAGAGAGAGAGAGAAAGCATGAGTAAGGGAGGGACAGAGAAAGAAAGAGAAAGAATCCCAAGAAGGTTCTACACTGCCAGCAGGAAGCCACAGACAGGGTACGTACGATCCCAGGAACCATGAGATCATAACCTGAGCCAAAATCAAGAGCCAGTTACTTAAGCAACTGAGCCACCCAGGCACCCCTAGCAACAGCAGTTTAATCAGAATTTTACCTTATTTCAAAAATCAAAATTAAAAACAACAGATAAATGATTCAGGCATCCATGTCAAAATAGAAGTTTTGTTTCGTTGTCTGATTTGCCTAAAGGAAACAAAACTTGTATCTTTAACTATGTCTTAGACATGGCTCTTTAATATATAACAAACATTTTGGAATTTAATCCCTTATATTTAGAAATTTCCTGCCAAAAGCCAGAAATCGCAAATGGAAATGCTGCATCTCTGAAGAAAACTTACAAGGAAAACGAACGATTTCAGTATACATGTCACCAGGGTTATGAATACAGTAGTAAAGGAGATGCCATATGCACTGCATCGGGATGGACTCCAACCCCTTCATGTAAAGGTAACGTTATATTTCCTTTCTATATATTTTATCAATTCTTTTCATTCATGTATTCCTTACAGTGAAGCAGTCTATTTTTTCTCACAATGGAGCGTTAATGTTGACAAGAACCAACTCATAAATATGATATACTTAACGTTTTATGTGTGCAAAAATTAATTTTGGTATAATTCTCTCGTTCTGAAGATAGACATAAAAGGAACAGAAAAGTTCAATAGCCATTAAGTAGTTGGTCTGCGGTCAAAAATCAAGTCTAGAGCAGAGCCAGGGCAATAATAGGCTTCCCAGGCATGATTACTTCTCAGACAGATTGCTCTTGTAAAGCCGAGCAGTTAGCTTTGCAAACAAAGTAAATGAGATGAATACCATATGAGGGAACCCTCAATTAACAATGAAATTAAGTGGAAATAACTAGAGATTTCACTAAGCACAGGCGTAATATGAATCAATAGTGATGATGATGCAGGGGGGTGGCAGGGGGCACCCACCAAACCCTTTTAGGCTTCCTAATGGGGGATATTGTGCAGATGTAGAATCCACGTCAACTGTGCTTCGTGCCCACCAAAAGTTATGTCTGTAATATTGTGTTCTACTTAGCCTACCTCATTTCAAAAGAGAGAGTTTCAAACTATCATGGTCCAGATGCAAAACTGTAAAAGGTTGAGTTTAAGACATCGTATCATTAGAAGAATAGCAAGAAGGTACATATTACATGTCGCACAGTAACAACTGTGTTGAGCTGTTTGGAAACATTTATGGAAAAGGGTGTGTTAACTTTGGATGCAGACTGCAGCAGTGAGTGAAACAAGTTACAAGTGCTATCCTACATGAAATCAGAGGTCAAGTGCCTTTCTAAAAGGGTGACTTTTATAGATATGGTCATATTGTGGCCCAGGGTAGGTGGGGAGATGGTGAGAAGAGTTGAACTCTTAAGAGCTCTCTGAACTTTTAATCATAAGATTCATAATTCCATGCGTAAACCTTGTTTAATGATCCTCTCTTACAAAAACTAGAGTTAGATTTTGAATGATTTTGTTCTTATTTTAAAAAAATTTTTGGTTGAGGGCACCTGGGTGGCTCAGTCGGTTAAACGTCTGACTTCAGGTCATGATCTTGCAGTTCATGAGTTTGAGCCCTGTGTCGGGCTCTGTGCTGACAGCTCAGAGCCTGGAGCCTGCTTTACGTTCTGTGTCTCCCTCTCTCTCTTTCTGCCCTTCCCCCACTCACACTCTGTCTCTCTCAAAAATAAACATTTACAGGGGCGCCTGGGTGGCTCAGTCGGTTAAGCGTCCGACTTCAGCTCAGGTCACGATCTCACGTTCCGTGAGTTCAAGCCCCGTGTCGGGCTCTGGGCTGATGGCTCAGAGCCTGGAGCCTGCTTCCGATTATGTGTCTCCCTCTCTCTCTCTGCCCCTCCCCCGTTCATGCTCTGTCTCTCTCTGTCTCAAAATAAAATAAACGTTAAAAAAAATTTTTTTTTTTAAATAAACATTTACAATTTTTTTTTTTAATTTTTTGAACTTTTTTTTTTTTTAAGTAAGCTCCATACCCTACCTGGGGCTTGAACTTACAACCCTGAGATCAAGAGTCACATGCTCTACTGACTCAGCCAGCCAGGCACCCCAACCCCCCGAAAGAAATTTGGGGTTGAGTCCACAAGTAGCTCCTTGGAAAATATATCTTCCTACAACTGAGTGACCTCCACTTTCAGGCATTGTTAAGAAAATATTTTACAAAGAGGTTAGTGAATAGAAGACAGTGATCACCCACATTAGATCTGTGATCATCAGATCATGTGTGGAGTCCAGCTGTTTGGCTTCATGGCATTTGTGGCTCCTACTCAAAGAAAGTGGGTGCACAAGTCCTCTGGCATTAACTTCTGCTGTATGTTTTACTTCCAGAGCCTGACTTAAATATTTAGAGAGCTAAATTATCCATCCAGTCATCAAAATATAACTTATAAACCCCTTACTTTATATCAGGCCCTTTGTCCTATATAAACATTAGAATAAATCACTCCAGGTTTCAGTGAACATTAGAATAAATCATCATTCCAGGTTTCAATGAAATTTACTTACTTCCAAGTAAGACGGCAGGATCTGAATTCAGTTTTACTTTGACATAGGACTCAGGATAGCCTGACTGCTCCATAGAAGTTGTCTAGTTAGTTCTTTTTCTTGGTCACATAGCTACCTGCTTAAAGCTGTTGCTGAGCACATATTTGTTTTAATGTGGGAAATCTGTTTTTCCCATATGTGTTGCTACAATTCCTAGGCTTACTTGTAACTTGACCCATCTATACCACACACATGCGCGTGCACGTGCGCTCACACACACACACACACACACACACACACACACAGTAAAGATCCCACATTTGTAAAACATTTTCTTTTTAGAATTTGTTTTTCATTTTCTTAGTCAATTGTATAACTCAAAAACTCAAGACAGGATGCCTTAGAATCCTCCTTTCTTTGGGGAGAGAGAAGCCACTAAGATTGGATACTCTCTTTCACAAAACAGTTTACTAATGATCAAGATAAATAAAGAATGGTTCACCCAAAATTAAATAAGCATGCACTCTCTGTTACAACAGTGGTTAATTTTATTGAAATGTGTTTTACATTAACTGGATACGGAGAAGTCTTTTATTAAAAGGAACTCCAGGGGCACCTGGTTGGCTCAGTCAGTTAAGGATACCATTCTTGATTTCAGCTCAGGTCATGATCTCACAGTTTGGTTCTAGAGTTTGAGCACTGCATCAGGCTCTTCACTGACACCATGGAGCCTGCTTGGGATTCTCTCCCTCCCTCTCTCTCTGCCACGCCCTCGTGCGTGCACTCCCTCTCTCTCAAAATAAATAAATAAACATTTAAAAATAAGTTTAAAAGTAAAAGGTACTCTACATTGTACCTTAGCTAGTATATCACAAATGCTTCTCCTTATTTTCCTAGGACAATAGAAGGACCTACCTGCCGGTAATGATGAATTCCAAATCTATAGATCTTGCTTTCTCCAAATCTATAATAAATTTGGAACTAAAATAAAATTAAAATAAAATAACCTAGGATAAAATATTTAAAATTCCTCCATCTGGTTTATGATTTTATGTGTCAGGTGTTTTTTTTTTTTTTTTAATGTTATTTACTTTGAGAGAGAGAGAGAGCGCATGACTGGGAGTAGGGGCAGAGAGAAAGGAAAGAGAGAATCCCCAGCAGGCTTCACACTGTCAGCATGGAGCCCACTGTGGGGCTCAATCTCACGAGCCATGAGATCATGAACTGAGCTGAAATAAAGTGTTGAACACTTAACTGACTGAGCCACCCAGGCGCCCTTCAGGGGTTCTGTTTGAAGGTGATTTGTCAAAACTTTGGTCTCTTCATCTAATAGGAACCAGACTCTGACAGCAAATCATTTATAGGAATAATTAAAAGTACCAAGACCTACTAAATAAAAGCCACCTTTGCTCCAAATCCATCTGTTCTCCGTACAAGTCAGATTTTCTGATGATGAACAACATAGAGTGCTAGCATTAAATTATTGTTCTTATCTCAAATGCTTACTGGCGGTATCTAACAGTAGGAAAAAATGTGACCCCACACATGCAGACATTCTCCAGTACTGTTTTAGATAGAGGTACATGCCCTGGCAATGTTTTACTAGCATCATTTATTTTAATGGAAATTATGAAAGTAGGGGTTACAATTTATCATTGAATTTATGTCTTCTGCTCAAAAGTAATCACCTGAAGTTCTTCTATTTTAATTATTTTAACAAAATTATTATTACAAATTTATTAAAAATTATTTAACAAATTCTCCCAGTATTTTTTGTTTGGCCTCTTAGTAAAACTCTTGTTTTTATATCTTGTAGCTTTTGACTTCAAAATTAAGCCACACTATGAAGTAAAAATTAATATATGATAAACTCCACTGCAAAGGTCTGTGAAAATATGATAGAGCAGAATAAAGTGAGGAGAAAAAACTAAAAGTAAACTTAAGGTTGCATTTAAGGTACATTAAGGCTCATCTCAAGGTAGTGTCAATTAAAATCAAGCAATGTAGACATACTTAAGATTTGTGGTTAGATGGTCACATATTCTTTCTAATATAACCATTGCTAATATAAGTATAGTATCATGTTTGGAATAGAGACTTATTAAAGCTTATTCTGGAGGAATGAAGTACAAATTTAAGACCAATTAAAAGACTATCATAAAACCTCTAAGAGTTGGATGTACACAGTGGAAGCATGGTATGAAGGGGAGGAGATGTTTAAGCAAATATTATAAGATTATAGAATGTGCTGTGTGAATGAATATTGAAGTGATGGGGAGGAGGGAAGGTGAGGTAAATTTCCAGGCTCCTGTCATGAGGTTTTTGTGTCACAAATTAAAATGTTAAACACAGGAGGAAAAGCATATATTGAGAAAAGGTTGATTTAGTTGGCATGTAATTAGTTGGATATGCCTTTGAATTATTCACATGGACCTGTCTAGTGTGAAGCTTCAGTTGGATATATGGATTTGGATCTCACTGAAGAGTTATTAGCATAATGCTGATAGCTTTTTATTGTGGAAGTATCTTGATTCACAGAGAAAATGTGAAGAAGCAAACAACAAAATCAAGGACAAATACTCATGTAGAACCAACTGTAAAGCATAGATATTCATTCATACAATACTCGTTGGGTCTTCAGGGAAGATATTTCTGAGGTGGTGATAAGAGTCAGCCGGAAGATCTAGAGGAGCATCACCCAAGAAATAAGGAATAAAAAGTGCAAGTGATATAAATAAGCCTGGCATGTGTGAACACCAGACAGAAGGCTATTGTGTTGTTCGTATAGAGTAAGTGGGACCTTGGTAGGAGATGAGATCTGAGAGGTAGACAGGGCCTAAAATTAAGTAGAGCAGAGGAAGGAGGGCAGCTATAAGTAAAATAAATAAAATAAAATACTACTGTTCAGACAAAAATAAGGAGAAGTAGGAAAACATAAGAATGCAGGGCATTGGAGAATGCCAGTAAGTCAGTGATCAACAGTGTCAAATATTACAGAGGGTTTTTATCTATTCAGTTCAACAAATAATTAAGGAGCCCATAGTATATAATACCAGTCACTGTGATATGAGCAATTCATAGAGATTTTGGATTTGGAAATTGGAGGACATTGGTGACTTTTGTCTTAATAGCACCAGCATGTTAAAGATGTCAAAAGCCAGATAGCAGTAGGTTGAAGAATAAGTGGGAGATTGAAAACCAGACTAATTGGAAGATGATATTTGAAGGATCTTGGCTGTGAAGGAGAGAAGTATAGTACATTAACAACCTTGGAAAAAGGGATGAGATAAGGAATTTAAAATTGGAGAAGCTTGCATATCCATTTAAGAGAGAATAGTAGACAAAATGAGAGAGGGAAGGAATATACAATGGTTCATGCTCGATGGAAGAATTAAACTTTTGAAAAGCTAACTTGAATGAAATAAACACCTCATCGTCAACAAGTAAGAGAAAGGCTAAAGTTCAAACAGATGTAGCCACAGTTAAGGACGTGTTAGTAAGAAATCTAGGGAACCCACAGCTAGTAGTCTGAAATTTGTTATGTGTGAATGCAAGGATTTATTTGTTGATGACGGAACTATTGTGTTAGATGGCTTTTGAAGAAAATGATGAGACTGTGATGAAAGTTACTTTGGGAAATGGAATAGGAAGTAAATTGGGGGCATATAAATGGATTTTTGGCATTGCTGAATGTCCACCATGGCACTAATATAAATGGTTATGTAACATTTCTACAATAGTTTAAAGGTATGATATTTTATTATACAAGGAATTTTGCAGATTGATCCATTGGCTAGATATTAGCAAAGTTGATGGAAAGAACTGAGACAGAACTTTACAAATTAAGACAGAGTAGGTCATGGGAGAGCACATTATAGTCTGAAAATCAAATCCATCCTTTGCCCTTTGTGTAAACAAAGTTTTATTGGAATACAGCCATGCTCATTTGTTTATGTGTCTTTTAGGGCTGTGTTCGTGTTGAGTAGCTGGGACAGAAACCTTTTATCTGGTTCTTTACATAAAAGGTTTTCTCCAAACCCTGGACTAGTTTATTCTATTATACTAATAAAAATGTATTCCAGAATTTCAATAGCCTAAAAAACTGAAGTTTATTTCCTGTTTATGCTCACTTCCAATGTAGGTCTGAAGGGACTCTGCTCATTATAGTAGCTGTAAGAATCAAGGGTAGAGACATCACCTCTCCATGGCTGTCCTTAATCTCTGCAGCTAGAAAAAAGAACATAAAAATTCACAGTGGCTTTTTAAAACTTCCTCCCTAAAGGGAAACGTGTTACTTTACTCATTTTCTTGACTGTGTAAATCAGAAGACCACATTTAATTCTTGGCAGGGATATGAAATCCTACTAAGTGTCTGGAAGGAAGAGACTCAAGCCGTTTGTAAACAGTCCTAGGAGAATCACAGATGCCAGGGAAGTTGAATAGTTTGTAAGAAGAGTTGAAGTGATATGTCATGAGTTTATTGCCACATATAGAATATTATGATATATGTGATGGCTTTGGAGAAAGGATTCAAGAGTCCAGGGGGCACAAATATATCAGATGTGAGATATAGTGGTGGGACATTAATGATATGATGGGAAGGATATAAGACTAAACTCACATTAATCCCATTTTATGCTGCGGTAGGGACAAAAAATAATAATACCCACTTTCTATATTTTTATGTACTTGATTATTTTAATGGGTAGTGATTTCAACATTACCTACATATTCTTTTTTTTTCCCAGAAATCATATGTGCTTCTCCTCACATTGAAAATGGTAACTATGCACCAGAAAGCATCAGATACAGAAGTGGAGATGAAATCACATACAATTGTAAAACTGGCTTTGATCGTTCAACCCAAGGAAATATGGCAACATGTACGAGTAGAGGCTGGGTACCTCAGCCAGGATGTACTAGTAAGTTCCATTCTATCTTGACCTACTTCTAAATTCTGAAATTATTGTCTCTTTAACAACAACAAAAATGAGTACACAGTAAATCCAAGTATTTGCCTTACTGTGTATATAAAGCAGAGCCTACAGAGACATTCTTTTCTTTTCAAAGTAGATAATTCTAATACAATCTAAGCCACATTTTTGAAAATGAAAAGCTATTTAATTTTTGCTATTTGGTATTAAATATGTGTTTATGAATTTCTCTAATGTAATTCTAATATCTGAATTAAACCATTTGATTTGTATTTCCCTGATGGTGAGTGTTATTGACCATCTTTTCATGTGTCTGTTAGCCATCTGGATGTCTTCTTTGGAAAATGTCTATTCATGTCCTTTGCCCATTTCTTAACTGGATTATTTGTTTTTTGTGTGTTAAGTTTGAGAAGTTATTTATAGATGTTTGCAAAAAAGACATCCAGATGGCTAACAGACACATGAAAAGATGCTCAACATCATACATCATCAGGGAAATACAAATCAGAATAAAATAACATATCACCTCATACCTGTCAAAATGGCTAAAACTAACAACACAGGAAACAACAGATGTTGGTGAGGTTAAAGAGAAAGGGTAAACCTCTTACGTTGTTGGTGGAAAATGAAACGGGTGCAGCCCCCCTGGGAAACAGTATGGAGGTTCCTCAAAAAGTCAGGGGCGCCTGGGTGGTTCAGTCAGTTAAGCTTCCCACTTCAGCTCAGGTCATGATCCTGCGGTTCATGAGTTCGAGCCCCATATCGGGCTCTGTGCTGACAGCTCAGAGCCTGGAGCTGCTTCGGATTCTGTGTCTCCCTCTCTCTCTGTCCCTCCCCTGCTCACACTGTCTCTCTCTCTCAAAAATAAATAATAAAGATTAAAAAAAAATTTTTTTTTAAGTCAAGCAATTACACTACTAGGTATTTGCTCAAAGGATACAAAAATAGTGGTTCAAAGGGATACATGCACCCCAATGCAGCATTATCAACAATAGCCAAAGTATGGAAAAAGCCCAAATGTCCATCAGCTGATGAATGGATAAAGAACTTCTGGTATATATTTACTCTGGAAAATTCCTCATCCATCAAAAACAATAAAATCTTGCCACTTGCAATGACATGGATGGAGCTAGAATATATTATGCTAAGTGAAATAAGTCAGAGAAAGACAAATACCATACGATTTCATTCATATGTGGAATTTAAGAAATGAAACAGATGAACATGGGAGGAAATAGAGGCAATACATAAAAGAGACACATAACTATAGAGAACAAACTGAGGGTTGCTGGAGGTGAGGTAGGCGGGGGAGGAGGGTTACGGGTTAAATAAGTGATGAGTATTAAATAGGGCACGTGTGTTCATGACCACTGGGTGTTATATGTAAGTGATGAATCCCTAAATTCTACTCCTGAAACTACTATTACACTAAATGTGAACAAACTGGAATTTAAATTAAAACTTGAAACAAATAACTTACCTAAAGCAATTTTACGTTCACAGCAAAATTGACAGGAAGGTACAGAAACTTCCTATACACTCAGTGTTGCCACACATTCATACCTTCCCCATTTATCAACATCCCCCCATCCCAAAAGGTATGTTTTTACAATGATGAATCTGCATTCATCCATCATATTACCCAAAGTCAGTAGTTTATCTTGGAGTTCACTCTTGATGTACATTCTACAGGTTTGGACAAGTGACATATGTATATGTCAGGTTTGTATAGTGACATGTCCATCATTATGGTATCATACAGAGCTTTTCACTGCCCTAAAAATCCTCTGTGCTCCACCTATTGATTCCTCCCCTTGCTCATTCTCTGCAACCAGAATGTCATACAGTGGGGCTCATGCATCCTGTAGCATTTTCAGATTTTTAAAAAAAATTTTTTAATGTTTATTTATTTTTGAGGGAAAGAGAGACAGAGCGTGAGCTGGGGAGGGGCAGAGAGAAAGGGAGACACAGAATCTGAAGCAGGCTCCAGGCTCTGATCCCAATGTGGGGCTCGAACTCACAAACCACGAGATCATGACCTGAGCCGAAATTAGTTGCTTAACCGACTGAGCCACCCAGGCGCCCCCAGATTTTTTTTTTAATGCTGAGAAATAGCTTTTGTGATTCCTCCAAGTCTTTTCATGATATGAGAGGTCATTTCTTCTGGCTGTAAATGATACTCCATTGCCTGGATATATCACGGTTTCTTCATTAGATTCGTATACTGGTGGACATCTTGGTTGTTTCTACGTTTTACCAATTATGAAAAAGCTGGCATAATCAAATAAATAATAAATAAATAAAACATTTGGTAAGGCTAGTGTCATTGAACACCTAATATATTAGTTCTTTATTTCTGTGTAACAGATTTCCCCAAAACATATTGGCTTCAAACCACACACCTTTATCTTCTCAGAGTTTCTATGGGTCAGGAATTTGGGAGTGGCTTAGCTAGCTAGTTCTGAGCCAGGCGCTTCTTGTGTTGCAGTCAGGATGTTGACCTAGGCTGCAGTCACCTGATGGCTTGGTGGGGCCGGAGGATCTGCCTCCAAGACGGCTGACTCATAAGGCTTTTGGCAGGAAGCTTCAGTAACTTACCACATGGGAATCTCCATAGGCTTCACGAATGGCAGCTAACTTTCTCCAGAACTCATGATCTGATAGAGAGAGCGGCAGAAGCTTCCGTACCATTTACAAACTAGTCACACACTGTCACTTTAGCCATATCTAGACTTTAGAAGTGGGTCTCTAAGTCCTGCATACTCAAAGGGAGGAGAACTAGGCTCCTCTTTTTGAAGGGAGAAAAAGACACTGTAGAATTTTCCAAAACCATCCATGTAACAAAATTCCATTCAATTCAACAGAGTACTGTCTTTTTTCCTGGGGAATGTTTCCTCTACTCTTTTCCAGGTATTTTTTGTCTCTGTAGTTCTATCCCTTTCCTTTACATACCACATTTGGTTGTACAGGTGTACTGCACTTACACTGGATAATATATGAATACATTATGATACAAAAAGTAGGTCAGTGGCCTCCATATTAATTCTAGGGATAACTCCAAAATGAATTTTCAAATCAAAAGACCCTATCAACATGAAACAGACCTTAATGTGTAAAACAATTATAATAAAAATACTGAATGATTGAATGATTGAGATATAATCGACATATAACATTATATTAGTTTCAAATGTGCAACATGATTTGATACTTTTATATATTGTGGAATGACTTCAAACACAATTGTAGTTAAATCTATCACCACATCGTTAACATGTTTTTTCTTGTGGAAGCACCTTTAAGATCTACTCTCTTAGCAACTTTGAAATATACAATGCAGTATTAATAACTGTAGTCACCATGCTGTCTGTACCTTACATCCCCATCATTTTATTATTTTATTACTGGTAGTTTGTACCTTTTGACCTCCCTTGACCCATTTCTCCTGCCCTTCAGGCCCTGCCTCTGGCAACCCCCACTCTGTTTTCTTTATCTAAGAGTTTGGTATTTTTTGATTCCAAATATGGCTCATGTAGTATTTGTCTTTCTCTGTCTGATTTATTTCACTTAGCATGGTGCCCTCCAAGTCCATCCATGTCATCACAAATGGCAACATTTCCTTCTTTTATTGGCTGAATACTAATCCTAGTTTCTTATGCACTCATCCAGTAATGGACACTTAGATTGCTTCCACATTTTGACTATTGTAATAATGCTGCAGTGAATATGGGGCACATATGTCCTTTTCAGTTAGTGTTTTCCTTTCCTTCAGATAAATACCCAGAAGTGGAATTGTTGGATCATATGGTAGTTCTGTTAATTATTTGAGAAACCTCCATGCCGTTTTCATAGTGGCTGCACCAATCTACATTCCCATTAACAGGGCAGAAATGCTCCCTTTTCTCCATATCCTCACTAACATTTTTTTTT